CCCCCCCCCCCCCCCCGCAAACAATGTGATTATACTGTAATGTTGATGCAATGTGTATGTACATGACAAAAGAGAAAGAATAATAAATATATCATCAGTGTCAAGAAATCTATCTTTTTCTATTATGTTCAATTGTGTTTTGGAATGACTTATATTGTGACACAAACTGCGAAACAGCTGCAATGTCAATTTCAGTGTATTCTGTTTGTTGTTTTGGAAGCCATGAAGCTACGGTGTGTTCTTGGAAAGCCCTGCTAAGTTAAATGTGGCAGCTAATGTGTGTTTGCTATTCAGACTACAGGGTCTTGTACTCAAAAGCGTGTAATTAAGTGCTAAAGTGCAAAAGATTGTAATGTTTTATATCAAAATTACTATTCATGAAATGTCAGTCAAGTTTATACTTTTGTAATAAAGTGGCACTTTAAAAGAAATATGCTTTATCTCATAGTCTTTCGCTTATTGAAGGGGATCTATAGCAGAAGTTGCAGAACCTTTCTTTTCTTTTTTTCCCCTTTTTAATCACAGATTTTTCCTTTGATCTAAACCATGCGAGAATATTTGAGTCTTTAGACCTACATAGGAAAAAACCTCTGCATCCCCCCATGATTTCAATTTACAGAGGATGTAGCCAGAAGAGTGACCCTAAAAAAATGTGTTGTCTTCCTGGATTCAGACACAAGGCCGTGAGCTCTTTCTTTGTCCTTTGCTTCCTTTGTGCACAACCTTACAACCTCTTTCACATAGTGTACGAGTGTGTTTGTGTGAGTAGCCTTCCCATGCCGCCCCCCCCCACCCCCATTTGTGTAAATGTGCACGTGCACATGTGCCAAAGTAGTGGGGTCTGCGTCTGAGTAGCTGTGGAGGGAGAAGGGGGGGGTGTAGAGGGGAGGAAAAAGGGGGAAAAAAAATAGGTCACCCCTTAAAACAAAAAGCTTGCAGTCAACATCGCAACCATCTGCTGAATTTTCATTGGCCGGCTTGTCTCCATGGTAACAGGTTAACCTTGAGGCAGTAGTCACATGGGCGAGCGGGTCTTCTGCTGTCTTGGAGAATACAGCGCGTGTTGTGTGACATCCACGATCACTGTGTCATCCGAGGAGCTATCACAGAGGAGGGAAAGAACACAACAACGACAACAACAACAAAAATGAAAATGAAAACAGTCCAAAAAACAAAAGCCCAGGAGCGGCAGACACTGTGAAGATGACACCACGTTCACAGCTCGCATGATGTGCTAATCTGGCTGTGAGCGGCATGAATGGCTGAATAAATACATGAATGAGACAGTTAGTTCCATTGAAGGTGCGTGACAGTGAACAGACACAAGATCAGTGGCACACGGAGGGGAGCGATCCCACCGAACGGGAGGTCGTAAACCGGCAGATTACACCCTCACGGGGAGTCCCGTTATCCCGGGTAGGCTCTCCCAGAAAAGATGAGAGGTGGAAGCACAACAGGGAAGAAGAGACAGGAGGATTGAGGTTTTTTACTGCATATTTTCTTTTGCAATCCTGACATTAATATAATCACGTTCCAGTTGTTTTTGTGTGTTTGTTTGTTTTACAGTCAGCATCATACACAGAATCCAGCACGGGCTGGGTCAGGAAAACCCCTAAATACGTGAGGATACATCCATTTAAAGCTGCACATGATAGCACACCACAGCGCTGCTTTTGAAACTGGGAATTCAGGTGCATTCTGCATTGTAAAGAACACGGTACAGAGAGGGAGATGCTGTAAATCACCACAGAGGCTTGGTGGGAGCTATACTGACCCCCTCAGGCCTTAAAGTGCATCGCGTACGTGTTTGTGCAGCCCGGACGTGAACCCTGAGAGTCTGAGGAGGATCTGAAATATTCACATGTGAGCGGGTGACCGTCTGTGACCTCACACGAGGCAGCTGGACCAGACACGAATTCCAACAGCTTTTTTTTTTTATTAGAGGCTCAAAAAATGAGGTGCTCCTAAACCCTAAGAGGAAACAAACCTTCTAAACCACGTTCTGTCACCCTGTTTTATTAACTAATATACAAAACGTCTCTAGGCCAAAGTGGTGAATCTGATAGAAAACTATAGTGACATTTTCATGTGCAATGTTATACCGTTATACTGATTCTAAATGATCCAATAATTGATTTGTCTGGGTTTGATAAAGGGTCTTAGCATTTTGGTTCTGTGGCAAAGATTTAGTCCAAAGGATTTTCTTAAAAATGTCCATTCCTTTTCAGACTGATTTGATTGTTGTGATGCCTTGGGCCCTCATTAGCATTGGAAAAACTTCTCCTACTTTTGCCTTTGAAGTCTTCAACAATCATATTCTGGCATTTTTCAACCATGTCAACAGTCAGTTCACTGTTCATCAATTCAAATATCAACAGTTTCTGCTCGGTGACACAAAGTGGGGATGAGCGGCAGCATCTTCTCTGAGTGAAGGCATCACAAAAGCTGAACTCATTGGTACATCAGGGCCTACAGAACAATGATGGGAGTGACACTAACAGCCACACTCAAACCTTTAGCAGCATCAGCCTCCAGGCTGGAGAACAGTTACCTCACACAGGATTGTGCGGATCACTGTCAGACTTTGTCAGTCTGCGCACAGTTCTCAGATCATAAATAATAACTTCCTCTCAGCTTTCTTCCTTCATTCTTTGTTTTGTCTGCCAAGGTGAGAGGTGAGGTAGAGGTATGTTGTCTGTCTGCTTGTCAGCCAGATCAAACACAGACGACCAAGCCGAACGACAAGGAACTTGTTACACAGGTGGAGCGCGAGCGAACAGAGAAACACAGCCAGTGTTAGAGCAGATCTGGGTCAACTTTTTTAAATCTACAAACAGGGCCCAGAGCTACTTGTTTTTTTCTTGTTAGTTTCTGGTCTTTATGTCAAATGTCTCAGCAACTAATGGGCGCATTTGGTAGAGAAAGAGTGAGGGTTATTTTAGCCACACTCACCTCTCCCCAACATCTCAAAATGGTCTAACCCATGTCTTTGTTGTATAACGGTTTCCTTTTGACCACCTAATGGTAGCGTTCAGATTTCGGTTTAAGAAAACTCCTTAAATCTCTCCTATATCATCCAAATGATGTCTGAGTGAGCCCTGGATTTAAAAATAACTAATGCATCCATGCCCCATATTGAATAATTTAATAAAGGACGTTATTGCGTCAGTATCCCTGAAAGGTTATGGCACGCTTTTGCATTTCTGACCCTTAGACAACATGTTGACAATCAACACCCGGAGTAGCGACCAGAGCAAAGTGTCCCTAATGCAGAAAATCACACTGAATCACTGGATGCTGTAGAGTAAAAAATATAATGTACTTAAAAGAGAATATAATAAAATTTCAACACCAGAATAACCAGAGTTTTCAAGTAGCTTTGTTTTGTCTTTCGAAAGGGCTCACAGCACTTTGGACTCAGCATGACAGCTCCTGGCTCTCTTCATCACTCCAGCC